GCTCTGGCAGCGAATGTGTGGTTCTTCTGCTTTATCTGGACCTCGAATTTTTTCGCATATTAAGAATTTAGTATATTTGGTAAATTAGACCAATCCACCCATGCGAGGCCTCAGACAGCGGAATTCCAAAAATCCTCAGCTGAAGTGCTACATATAATATCTCAATTGTGTCCAGTACGAACTCCGGACATACAATAAACGCCTAAAGATACTCACTGCGAAGCCCTGTAGCCTACCTTTCATTGCAGGCTTGATAATTATTGGTTCCGAAGGAGCTGCGCACAAATTGGCTGTTGCACAGGCTGTCAAAGAGACCGAATAGCCCACATCGGTGTATACATCGTCAACTTGGCAAGACACTTCTCCCGTCTCCAGGGTTGTTGTTTCACAGAAGAAACTCCTTTCGGCAATGTCTAGGTTATTTGTTGACTTCAGGGTAACTTTGTATTCGAAGGAGCTGCTTCTGTCGACCGCTGGCTGCGTCCAGCTTAGGCTAAATGATGTGCCTGTAATATCCTTAACTTGAACGTCTGAGAGAGTCTCCAAAGTCGCTGAAAAAACGGCAATAAAGCCAAACTGATAAAACTGGTGATTGCCAGTTGTAAATCAAAGATTGGTTTGTCGTCTCCATCGAGAAACTTCTAGTAGGAACTGGAAATTAATGTAAATATACAGCGCTGAATAGAAGCGCGGACACCATTTAAACATAGAGCTATTTCATAGCTTTAGGTTTCCTTTGAGGATTATTCTATGTGGAGAATTACAGGCTAAACCAAAAGTATAGCAGTTATGAATAGTCATAGTTAGAGAGTATTGTTTAGAAAGAGCAGGAAGTAATAACAGCCCATGTATATTAGCCGAGCCAATATCAGTTAAAGGATCTTCCCCATATGGTGCGATTCACGTCAAAAACTGCCATCATTCAGGACGCAGCATCATCCCAAGGATTTGCTGACGGGTGATCTCACTCGTATAATACCTAAACCAGTTTCTATGAAGAAGAATGTCCAGTCAATTCAAATTTATTGAAGGAAATATAGGCAAACGCCTTTGAACTCCCTATTTTCGACAGTTATACCGAGATCCAACTAAGAGCTTTTAACTGCAGCAACTTTAATATACGCTATTAGAGCTGGAGTTACCGCGGCTGCTGGCACCGGACTTGCCCTCCAATTGATCCTCGTGAAAGGATTTAGAGTTCACTCATTCCG